CAAATATTGATAGCGATCTCATTTGTGATTCAAACGGTGATCTTTAAGTTGGATCTTGAGCGTGCTGCTGTCGTCTATCAGCAAAAAGTTGAATCATGAAATTCCATGAAGATTTGACGACGCTATGGCGGTTTGACTGGCAGGAGGTATAGCAGCCACTATAGTCTTGGAAGTATAATCTTAGCAAGAAGAATTCGAGAGGGAGATGGTTCCCAGCCTCTACATACCCCAAGAGCCGAGGTCCAGGTTGGTGGTACACCACCACAGAGTTCCGAACCACGAAGAGTCTCAAAACAAACCCTCCAAGGGGCTACACCAAGTGAAATGTCACACTATACGAAGTAGCATTATTATTTTCACTATTTATTATTTATCCGCGTCCCTTGGGCTTGAAATCTTGAGCTCTTGGTCTTGGTTCTGCAAGATAAATTCTTCTTGAGTTGATGGGGGCTTGCTGCACACACCTGCGACGCGATGGACACTTCACACTCGACAAAATAGAAAAACACATGCGACACGCAAACGACGACTTGACATCCGAGTTGTAAAAACTCACTAATGTCTTGACCGACACACACCACATTGTGAGACACCATTCAAACACACACACAAGCACTAGATAGCAATGAAATAGACTCACAAGTCATTCCATGCCATGCATGCTCACACACAAACAAGGACGACAAGCCGAGTGCAAGCCAAAGGGTTGCACCAACAGGGAGGGGGGGAATGGTTGGGTTAGAAGGAGGGAGAGGAGGGGGAGGGATGTGAGGGGGGGGAGGGAGTGGGAGACTGCCTGGGAAGAGGGAAGACGAGGAACCCGAAGGGTATATAGGCGGGAGCGAGGACAAAAGGGAATACGGGAGAGGAGGCGACCTGTGGGATGGTATAGGTGGCAGTGATTAGCGCGACCTGGGAAGACGGTGGTGATACCGGCGTGCTGCAGGGATCGCTGGGAGAAGAGGTTTGTACGGAGGGAGGAGATGTGTAAACCAGTGACGGTTCCTGAGGGGAAGAGGGGACAGGGGAGGGTAGAGGTGTGGCGATAGGGAATAGAGAAGCTGGAATCGGCACCAAGGAGGGAGGTGGGGGTTGGGAGAGGGTGAAGGGTACCATCATCACGAAGGACTGAATCGGTGGCTCCACTGTCAAGGACAAGTTCCAGCGTGGTGGAAAAAGGAGGATGTGGGGGAGGAGGTGGGGCGGAGTACTGAATCACATTCTCATTAATAGGAGCCGAATACATAGAAGGGGCAGGGGTTCCAGCCTGACTAACCATGCCAACAAAACCAAAGGAGGGGAAACGAGTCACACTGCCTGTGGCTGAGGGCGCACGAGACACGCCTGAGAGATGAGCTGTGGAAGCGGCGGTGCCGGCGGTCTAGGCGGGGTAGGGCTGCTGGGGGGGAGCCATAGGAGGAGGTGCAAAGGGGAGCTGCGACTGGAGGTCAAGCTGCTGCTGGAGCTGCTGCTGCAGCTGGGAGAAGAGGTGCTGCTGCAGCTGCTGGAACTGCTGCTGCTGTTGCTGAAACTGCTGCTGCGGCTGAAACTGCTGCGGAGTCTGCTGCTGATGCTGTTGCTGAGATACGGCCTAGTGGGCTGAGAGGGAGGAGCGGGCTGGTAGAGAGGGGAGGTACGAACCTCCCGAGGAGTAGGGCGAGGAGAGAGGGAGGACCAGCGGGGGGGGGTGCCGGTGTTGCCGCGGGCAAACCACTCATCACTGAGCGCCTTGAAGCAAGTATCAATGGCATGAGTGGTCTGGCCGTAGCGCTGACCCCGCGTGGGGCCATAGCGAGGGAGATACTGACAAGGAGGAAAGGCGGCTGCTGCACCACGTCCTGCACCACTGCCACCACGACTAGCACCACGCCCACCCCCACGCCCTCCCCTGGTGTTGCGCTGTTGAGCAACCGCGGCAGTGGAGGAGGAATGGCGCAAGAGGTCGGCCTCAGTGGTGATGATCCACTGGGCGACCTCAGCCGGGGTGATGCGCTTGTTGATAAGCTGCATGTAGGCGATCTTGTGGGTGTCGAAGGCAGGAGTCGAGCCTTCAAGGAGGTGGCAGCAGAGCATTGGGTCCGGGTACGGGACGCCAAGAGCCGCCAGACGACGAGCGAGGTCGAGGACGCGACGAGTGAAGGCCGCTGCGCCGGTGGTGGAGTCCATGGTGAGGCTCTGGAACTCCTTGATGAGGGAGTAGAGGGTGGCGACGTCCTGCCGATCATAGAGATCGGTGAGGAGCCGCCAGAGGTGGGAGGAGGAGGTGGGAGCAAGCTCCTGCTTGAGGGTGGGAGGAATGGTGGCGAGGAGGATGGTGAGCGCGCGGCGGTTAGCGACACGCCAGGCGGCGAGGTCGGTGATGAAGGCGCGCTCGCGCCTGGCGTACTCCGCGAGCGCCGCCTGGTATGCGTTGTAGGCGGCATTGGCGGCGTCATGCTCGGCGCGGGAAGCCTTGTAGAGCAGCTGCTGGCGGACGTGACGGATGGCGGTCTTGGAGCTCTGAGGGTCGTTGACGTCAGGGGTGAAGGTTGGAGGATCGCCGGGGCTGACGGGAGCATTGCTAGGAGGAGGAGGTACAGGGCCCGCGGGAGCATCTGGTTGGGCAGGCTGAAGACCGCGCTCCTCGAGATTGACAACGGCTTTCAGGTTGTAGCCGTTGACCGTCACCGAGGAGAGAAGCACCATGATGGTTTGGGCATAGGAATGCCAATTGGCCGCGGTGTTGTCGGGCAGCAGCTCAAGAGAGTCGACGGAGATGAGGTCCACCGAGGAATCGGACGCCATGGAGGAGGAGGAGGGGAAGGAAGGGGAAGAGGAGGAAAAAGGAAAGGAGGAGGAGAAGAAGGAGGGAGGAAAATAGTAGGTGCGCAGAGCGGCCGCGCGCAGTCGGCGGAAGCGACGACGGACAGCCGCACGCGACGGCAGCAAAATCAGCGACGAACAGCCGCACGCGGCAGCGGCGGAATCAGCGACGGACAGCTGCATGCAACGGCGGAATCGGCAGTAGCTGCGGCGGCGAGCACATTCACGATGGGCGGATTCGTCGGCGGGTGCACGCGGGTGCCGCGACGAACAGGCGTAGTAGTGGGAGAGCACGACGAACGGGTGCGCGCGGTGGCGGAGGGCGCACTACGGGAGGACGCGGCGACGAACCGCGCGAGGAGGAAAAGGGTGTCCCATGTCTGAGATTCCTCATACCTTTCCATGTCTGACATCCCTCATACCTTCCCATGTCTGACATCCCTCATACCTTCCCATGTCATCCACGCCACGCCATCCTGCACTCTCCCAGCCCGCTCATCGCTCTCATTCCCCCACCCCCTGTTTCCATCCTCTCCCTCCCCGTACTGACTTCCGCTGACAGGTACATCCGGTGCGAGGGCAACTACCTCACCGTAGTGCACTCGCCCAACCCGCTCATCCCGCCCATCTTCGGCATGGACGAGTACGGCATCTGCAGCAAGTGGAACATCGGCATGAGCCCCCCCTCCCCCTCTCCTCCCTCCCTCCTTTTCTTCCCCCTCCTCCCTCACTTTTCTCCCTTTTTCGCTCCCTCTTTCCCGTATTCTCCTCTCTACGCGCTCCCGTCCCCTCCCTCCGCCCCCATCGCACCAGGTACATCCGGTGCGAGGGCGAATACCGCACCATAGTGCACTCGCCCAACCCGCTTATCCCACCCATATTTGGCATGGACGAGTACGGCATCTGCAGTGAGTGGAACACCGGCATGAGCCGCCTCACCGGGCTGGGCCGCGGGGACGTGCTGGGGAGGCTGCTTCTGGGGGAGGTGTTTGGGCTGGAGAGGGCCATGCTGATGCTGCGGGACGAGGATGCGATGACGGAGCTCGAAATCGTGGTCAACTGTGCCATGGAGGGGCATGAGGACACCAGCAATCACCCCTTCTCTTTCTTCGCACGGGACGGAAAGCTCCAGGTAAGAAGGCCGCTGGGGTTGGTTAGGGCTGCACGAGGTGAAAGTGTGGAGGGATGCGCCTCACAGGGCTTGGGAAGGGGGAAGTGCTGGGGAGGTTGCTGCTGGGGGAGGTGTTTGGGTTGGAGATGGCGATGCTGATGCTGAGGGACGAGGATGCGATGACAGAGTTGGAAATTGTAGTGAACTGCGCCATGGAGGGGCATGAAGATACATCGAATCACCCCTTCTCGTTTTTCGCACGGGATGGGAAGCTCCAGGTGAGGCAGGGTAGAGTGAGTTCGGGTCAGAAGGGTCGGGAGTAGTTAGCAGTTGAGGGTGGTTGGTGGTTGTAGAGAAATGGTTACGGGTTATGGGGCACGAGCAGGGGTCCAGGGGAGGGCGATGCTGATGCTGCGAGACGAGGATGCTTTTGAGTCGACTCAAAAGGCGAGGATGCGATGACGGAGCTTGAGATTGTGGTGAACTGCGCCATGGAGGGGCATGAAGATACGAGCAATCACCCCTTCTCCTTCTTCGCACAAAACGGAAAGCTGCAGGTGAGAAACAGTGGTGGTTCTTGGAACAGGTAGTTCCGCATGGGTAATGAACAGCACACAGAAGTCGTGGCGCCTTTGCCACTTGTCAGTGCAACCACAATGCATTCATGTGACCATGTGCTGACCGTGTGCCACTCTGCTGCACCATGCCCATCCCTTGGCGTACACACACCATCATGCATGTGCTTGCTGCACATGCTGAGGACACTGATGACACCGGGCAAGAGCACTGACGTGGCAAGCGAGAGAGGGAGCCTCCAGGACTCTAAACACTCGTTCTCTCTTTCATGTGCCCGACCTCCCCCTCCCTCCCCTTCTCTTTTTTTTTTTTTTTTTTTTTTTTGCTTCCTGCACTCTTATCTCATGCCCAACCTCCCCTCTCCCCCCTTCCCTCCCCGCTTAAACTACCTCAGGAGGTGCTGCTAACAGTGAGCAAGAGAATGGACGTGGACGGGCACATCACGGGCGTCTTCTGCTTCCTGCACTCGATGAACCGGGAGGTCCAAGAGGCCCTAAAAGCCCAGGCCGCCGCGGAAACCGCCGCCCAGGCGCGCATAGCCCAGTCGGACGTGGCAAGAGAGAGCCTCCGGGCGCCCCTGGACGGGCTGGCGTTTATCCGCCTCTCCCTGCAACAGTCAGCCAGCCTGTCCCCTGATCAGGTGCAGCTTCTGGAAACAGCAGCGGCTTTGGAAGAGCAAATGAGAACGATTCTAGCCGATATGGCGGATTTGAATGCGGTGGAGGAGGGTTACTTGGACGTGCAGCGGGTGGAGTTCTCGCTCGTTTCGGTGCTAAACGCGTCGCTTAGCCAAGCGTCGGGAGCGGCGATCGCAAAAGGGCAGCAGCTGGTGTGCTCGGTTCCCAGCCCCATGAGAGTGCGAGTATTCGGTGACCCGACTCGGCTGCAACAAGTTCTCGCCACGTGTCTCCGCACAGCAGTGGAGCACACACCCCCTACCGGGTGGATAGAGCTCAAGCTAGAAGCCCCCATGCGGGGAGCGGCAGATGTGCCTCCCCCACAGGGCCACCCGTCAGCTGAACGGTTCAGATTCACCATGGCGCACTCAGGGGACGGGGTGCCGGGACCGCTGGTGCAGGTGCTGGTGGGGAGGGGGGGAGTGGCGGCAACTGGGCTGCAGGGCATGGCGCTGCGCCTGTGCCGGCGGCTGGTGCACCTGCTGGGGGGCGAGCTGGGGTACGCGTTTGAGAGCGGGCGGTGCTGCTTCAGACTAGACGTGCAGCTGCCCGTGAAGCACAAGGCAGAGGCCACTGCTGGCAGTAGGGCGTGATACAAAAGGGGGGAAAGACGTGGAAGTAAGGGGGGGAGAGAGGGGCGTGTGTGTGTATCTGTGTGTGTGTGTGTGTGTGTATCTGTGTGTATGTGTGTGTGTGTGTTTGTGTGTATGTGAGGGAGGAGGAGGCGGGCGGATGGACAGCGGTGCACAGAGCATTACCAGTAGGAGGTCTCACGGAGAAAGCGATTGGTGGCAGGAGAGGCGGTGCAGTCATGTGTGTTAAGGAATGGAGGCCGCAGCACATGGAGGGGGGGGGAGAGAAGGAGGGAGGGGCGGAAGCAGCAAAAGAGAATGTACAGGCGAACAGGGGATAGGAATGGGTTCTGCTGGGTGGTGTGGGCTGGGGAGCTTTGGCGGGGAGGCAAGGTTGCTGCGAGGTTGAAGCAGCAGAGCCTTGGGTGAAGTTGGGAGGTGTGCTGGCTGGCAGGGGTGAAGCAGAGCCGGGGCTGAATGCAAGGGCAGCTTTGCAACTACCACACTTGATGGACGCAGAGGTCAGTTTTGCTGTGCTTCCCTTGCCCAAAGCGTGCAAGAGGCAGGGCAGTGTGGGTCAGGGAGAGTGCTTGGAGCAGGGTGCGCAAATCCGCGTCACACAAGCAAGAGGTGAGATAAGAGCAGGAGGGGAAATGGGCCATGATAACACTCTGCATGTGTGGTGCCTCCAGCTGGCAACAATTTTTCTCCTTCAAGGTTGTTTTTTGTGGCTGCCTGCCCATCCTCAGGCTCCACTCCACGGCTACCAACCAATGTGCTTCCACCACAATCCTAGGTGGTTGTTGAGTGGGAGTGTGGGTCCATTTGTGTACAGTTGGTTGTGAGTCCAGCCCAGTTCATCACGTTTCAAGCGTTGCAGTGGTAGTTGATCAAGAGACACGAGAAAAAGAGCAGATGTGGAGGTGGTACGAGTTGGAAGAAAAAATCTCACATCTTGCATAACCAACGCTGCTGTACGACTGACTGCTAGAATCCCAGGTGATAATTTGTTCAAGCGAGTCTTCTCATTACCTAGTTTCGCCTGTGAATAATGCGCGCCAGGTGCAATTCCAAGTACGGGACGAGGGTTTGATTGATAGAAACCTTTTTTCACGGAAACTGTTTCTGACGTGAAATTCCTTGCCTTGACTTCGCCACTTGTGGTTTCCGCACCAATCAGATAAATAGTTGTAACTCCAACCGAGCTTTGCGGAACCAAGCATCTCACAGTGAGGGGGCCCCATTCTGCATACACCTCTTCCTGCTTTGAAAGGCGAGTGTTTCAGGAGCCCTACGAATTTCACGAAACATGTTGCTTTACAAATAATTTAGGAATCACAGCGAACGCTACTGTAGGCAAGCCGCTGGCTAGGAAGTGAAGCACAGACCAATCACTCAGGGAATGTTCTGAGGTCCAAACATGGAAACCCGATCGTACTGGAAACTACTACAACGCACAGACCACGACCCGTCTCCATAAGCGGGCACCAGGTGCGAGATTGTTTGCACTTAGGACATGCCCTTACTGCTCTGTCAAATCCTTGACTTGTTCAATCAAGCTCGACTTCTAGGCCCCCGGGGCTGACGTGGCTCGCCTTGACAGCTGCAGACTGCCGATGAATGCTCCACGCATGCGTCATCCAATGCAATTCGAGCACATTTCCTTCCACCACAGAAAATGTGCGCTGCGCAAAAACCCCCCTTCCTCCTCCTCGCTTTCTTGATTTCCGTTCGCGGTCCGATTTTACCAGCACCCACATCGCACGCAACGCAACCATGAGATATAACTTCCGAGCCTGTCACTGGAAGCCCATCACACAACCAGTTACCTTATCACGTTCAGCGAACTTTATCGCAGTCCTCGATTTCCCGCAGCTCTATCCACTAACCTTTTAACATCCGCCAAATCAAATGATGGGAAAGCGCGTGTCCTCGAACCGTTCCTCTGCTCTGACGCTCGGAAGCGCGGCAACACCGTGGATCCTCCAAGCCGTTCTGTTCGCCGCGGTCCTTTCGACAGCACCTCCCCTGGCTGCAGCACACCCTGACGAAAACCTGCCGCACGGCCCGAAGACAAAAAAGCCGCGCGGGTGCTACAAGTTCTGCAACAACCTTGAATTGGGGTTTTACATAAATCGGACAGACGACACGTGGGCTGCAGGAGCCGAAGTCGCAGTCGCAAACTACAACTTCGAGCGATATGTTTTCGATGATACTGCAGAAGTTATCAAATCCGCCCAGTCCTCGCAGGTACTACCACAATTATCATATATTTGATCATCTTTGTTGTTACAGTCATATCACTTCCGTCCGCCCTTCTGATTCTACGCCCGGTGCTGGGCCGGGTCTCTTTCGCCGGCCAGGTCTCTTTCGCGAGCGGTTTTGAAGTTTCGAAGTTCAAAGTTGTGGTCTTTCGTTCAGGAGAGTCGTGCCTTTCAAATCGAGCTGCTCTGCGTACTACTAGTAGTAGTAGCCCCTCAGCTCCTTGCCGCCTCTGCTCCCTCGTATCGTCCTTGCCGCATCGTCACACTCTACTCAGTAGAGTTCTTTCCTCCGTGCTCCCCCCCCTGCCTTTCCCCATGCCTGGTCGTCAGACTCTGAACAAGGTCAGGGAGTGCTGCGAGCGCTGTGCCTTGCAGGTCGGGTGCAGCTTCTGGCACTTGAGACGCAAAGACAATTCCTTGCAGTAAGGCTAAAGCGTTGAACGCATCCAGGCTACGATACCAATTGATAGTAGTATGTCGTGACGCAGGCTATTGTTCTCCCCTTTTTTCGTATGTTTTTGTTTTCATGATTAGATATTACTATTTTCCCTGTAGTACTGCTATCATGAGTAACGTGCCGGTCAGTTATGCGACCATGCCGTGCGCCTCCCCCCACCTCCCTGCGATTTCTTTGTACCCCCTTTCCCTCTCCCGGCGAACAGTTGGCAATGCACGTTGCTGAAGTCCAAGAAAGGGGTCACGGCAACGAATTGGAACACGAAACAACCACCGTCATACTTCGGCGGCGAATGCAACCCCGAGCCTAAAACCGACGACGATCCGCACTTCCGTGGCGCGGACGGCACGCGCTTCGACTTTAACGGCCTGCTCGGCCGCTCCTTCTGCCTCATCTCCGACCGTCGGATCCACATCAACATGGGGATCAACGGCTACCGCCCCATCGCGAATCTCCCGGGAACTGCCACGTCACTGGACGAAGACTCGCTCGCTGCAGCGCTGGAAGCGGTAGCCAATGAGAAGAAGCCACGTCATATTCGGGAGCTGGAGCAGGAGAGGCTGAGCGCTGATGAGGTTGCTGAGCTGGAGAGAATGCGGGCGAATGGGAGTCTGCCGTTGACTGCTGAGGTGGTGGCGGCGCTCGAGCGGGAAAGCGGGAATCGTGGGGAGGAGGAGAAGCACTCGATTCAGTATGAAAAGGATGAGCTCAAGGCACGGCTGCTCAAGGGGAAGGCGATTCGCAGCTGGATCAGGTGTGTGATGAGATGTGCATTTGCTGTTATTTGATATAGTGTTATTCGATTTTCTGTGCTCTTACCTTGTGAGGTGCATCTTTTATGATTATTGGATTGCTGCAAAGCCGTCTTCACAGGCTGCCTCCTCACATCCTCTCCTCTCTCGCCCCTCCGTTTCTCCCTACCAGGGAGCTCCAAGTGATGTGGCGGGATGAGATTGGTTCTCAGCACTCGGCGTACATCAAGGCGCGAGACGGCAAGGAGCAGGGGCGGGGCAACGGTGGATTCATTGACCGGCTGGAAATTGACGGCCAGCCGGTAGCCCCTCCTTTCGCAGCCGGCTCTTTCGTCGCCAGCGATGGCGGTTTCAAGCTGCTGCTGGAGGAAACGCGGAGCAAGAAGGGGAAGGAGGAGGACGCGTTTCAGCTGACGATACAGGGCGTGGTGGACATGGGCGTCACGGCGCGCGTAGCGCATCCGCTCATGCAGACGGCGGACGAGGCACAAGCGCACTTCAACGTGGCTATCGAGCAGCTCAACGTAAGGAATGGTGCTCAATGTTTTTTATGAGAGCTCTGATTTCATCTTACGGGGCGATGCTCGCTTCTCTCTGCTCGGCCCATACGCTTCGTCCTAGACATTTGTACTGTCCTGTCAATTCAGCTCACTTCTGCACCCTCGTCTCTTCCGTCCTCTGTCCTCTGCGCTCCCCCAATCCCTCATTCCCCCCCTCCCCCCCCCCCCCCCCACCTCCTCCCGGCAGAACACGGAGGGGATTCACGGCGTGTTGGGGCAGACATTCCGCGGGGAGCCGACGCGGAAGGTGCAGTCGCTGCGGTACCGCCTGCTGACGCGGCTACTGCGGGAGGCGGTGGATGTGGAGAGCGAGAGCGGCAGGGGGTTTCTGGACGGGCGCATGGAGGACTACATCACCTCGGGGATCGGCGCGCCGGATTGCATGTTCGCTGCCGCGTGGCGCAGGGGCGAGCACGAGAACAGCGACGGAAGCGATTTCATGCGATAAGAAATGGAATAGAAACGGTTCTGAGGCGTTCCTTGCCCTGAGCATTGAAGGCAATGGTGGCTCGGATCGGGTTTCCATGGAGGAAATTGCATGTACGCACGCTGCGGGCTTGGCGAAGGGGTCAATCGGAGAGCGGCGATGGGAGTAACTTCATGGGACGTTTTTGGGTGCTTGCGAAGTGACGAGCTGCGAGTTGCGGCTTTTACAGAAGCTAGTGGCCCAAGTATGGGCGGCGTAATAAATAAGCATAAATCATGCATAGAAATTCCCCACATACGATATATTTGGTGAAGCTTGTACACATGTATATTTAATTGCTGAAGCCTCTCTGGCTGGATAATGCAATTTGTTTGATGGCAGACGCAAGGAAAGGAGAGGACTGACTTGTTTGAAGCACCAACAAGCGATCAGCTACTTAAAAAGGATAGTGACAATTTATTGCTGCCCTTGAAACAACAGGATGAAACTCCCCTTCCCGTTCACTGATATTCACCCTCCCAAAATGTAGGTATGGTAGTGGAAAAAGGAAATGTTGATATACGATCCCCTCAATTTACTGCACATCTCCCATACGCAACAAGACAAGTGCCACTGAAGCCCCCGCTAGATTCGGCAGCCACCCACCCAGCATCGGGCTGATCACACGCAGCTGAGAAGAGGGAGTCAAGGGCAGCACCAACAGGGGGAGACCTACCTAGCGTGTGAGCTGAAAACAGACCAGCACGTGGTAGCAGGTGAACATTGTACAAGCCAGTGAAGATTTGGGGGCAGGGAGTGAGTGGGTGAGCAGATGAAGACTCGATTCGGAATGATTCAAAACAGCATACGTAGATCAAAGGGTGTTCACAAAAATCTGGTCTAACTGAGAGAGCCAGACACTGCTGAGTCCCTGACCTGGGGGGGGGGCGGAGAGAGAGAGAGAGAGAGAGAGAGAGAGAGAGAGAGAGAGAGAGAGAGAGAGAGAGAGAGAGAGAGAGAGAGAGAGAGAGAGAGAGAGAGAGAGAAGGGGGGGGGGGGGGAGAGAGAGAGAGAGAGAGAGAGAGAGAGAGAGAGAGAGAGAGAAGGGGGGGGGGGGGGGGGGGGGGGGGAGAGAGAGAGAGAGAGAGAGAGAGAGAGAGAGAGAGAGAGAGAGAGAGAGAGAGAGAGCCCATGGTATATAATGCTCTCCCACCCATCCTAGAGTTCATTATTTAGTTTCGAGTTGAGTTCTTCATCCGGTCCCTGCAGCGGCGCTCGCGAGGTGGATGGCGGCAGAGATGCAGGGCAAGAAGCGGGACCTGTACGACGAACGACTCACCTTTGTGAAGGTGCTGGGAGTCGCCACTGAGACATACGGCTGCTGCTCCCCCGACACACTCGAGTTCCTCCGAGTACTGGCTGCCCTCTCAGCCCGCCGGAACCACCAGGCCGACGAAAAGTCGGCGGTGGCAAAGAAGGTACTGCACAGCTATCGCCAGAGGTGGTCAGTCACCCTCCAGCGGCAGCAGGCAATCACCCTCCATGTGAAAATTGGCCAGGTGACAGGCCAAGCTTTCAGCCACGACCGCCCCCTAGACGAACCTCTTACCTGGGGAGAACTGGAAGCCACCATTGAACCTACCTGCGACAGGTGGCCCGGGCAGCAGTAGGATGCTCGGGGACACCAGGGCATACATAACCCTGTTTGTACCTCTGTACCCCTTATAAACATAATAAAGGACCGCTTGAGAGAGAGAGAGAGAGAGAGAGAGAGAGAGAGAGAGAGAGAGAGAGAGAGAGAGAGAGAGAGAGAGAGAGAGAGAGAGAGAGAGAGCGAGAGAGCAGTAGGTGTGGTTGCGTCTTGAGGGAAGAGGAGACCCAACCGGGGAAGGCAAATGCACTCTACCTGAGCAAGAAGGACACCGGTGACGGAGAGAGAGTAATAGGTGAAGATGACAAAGACTGCCAGGGCGAAGCCCACCTGCACGGGATGGGAGGGACGATGGAGGGAAGAAGGGACGGAAGGGAGGATAGCTTTGAAGGAGGGGCCGCCAAACTACACGAGTGACGGAGAGAGAGCAAAAGGTGAAGATGACAAAGACTGCGAGGGCGAACTCAACCTGCATGGGAAGAATGATGGGGGGAACAAAGTATCTTTTGAGTCGACTCAAAAGTCACCTGCAGGGGAAGAATAGTAGGATGCTTTTGAGGCGCCACAGAATCACACCAGGCAAGGGATATGAGGATATGGGGCGAGGAACGCGAGGGTACGATCATGAGAGCTCGCTTGTTGCTGGGAAAGGGAGGTTTAAACGAGGCACCACACAAATACACCAGGCAATGGACATGAGGATATGGAGCAAGCATATTTTTTTTAGGCGCCTCAAAAACAGACTGCACACAATTACACCAGGCAATGTACATGAGGATAAGATATGGAGCAAGGCATGTGACAGTAAGATAGTAGTGAGAGCTCGCCTGTCGTTTCCCCTCTCACCTGTCGCTTTCTGATCTGCAGGTGGGCAGCAAAGAGTACTTATGACGAGGAAGAGCGGTGCACCTATCTGCAACAACAAGACTCCCTGCCTCTCGCTTTCTCTTATGTGCACCGACCTTCTCTCACCTGCGGCTTCCCCTCTCACCTGCGGCTTCCCCTCTCACCTGCGGCTTCCCCTCTCACCTGATCTGCCAGCGGGCGGCGAAGAGAGCTCCCAGGTTGGCAAAGAGGATGAGGGTCTATTTGCAGCAACACCACTCCCACAGTCCCACCCCACCTCTCGCCCTCTTACTTGCACCGAGCTCCTCTCACCTGCCCCTTCTCCTCTCACCTGCCCCTTCTCCTCTCACCTGTCCCTTCCTCTCTCACCTGCCGCTTTCTGATCTGCAGGTGGGCAGCGAAGAGAGCTCCCAGGATGGCGAAGAGGAAGGTGGCGCATGGGAGAGCGACTCGCTGATGGATCTTCACCTGCAGGGGGGAGGGGTAAATTACTCTTGGAAAAATGAACACCAAAAACATGGCGTGGAACAACGGCACACTGCTGGATTTTCACCTGCAGAGGGCACGGGGAGAGGGGCGCATGCAAACAGCGGGCGCATGCAAAAAGGGGGCGCATGCAAGAGAGGGGGCGCATGCAAGAGAGGGGGAAACAATTACTGGACTGTTGCAGGCAAAGAGGGAGGTGGTAGTTTATAGGAGAGCGGCAGTTGCTGGAATCACCTCTCGTTTTAGTAATAACACTCATCGCAACAGCCATGATCACTTCCAGTGAGTCACAACCTACCAGTATTCACGTGCGCCTTTGCAGCAGCGCCAGTACTACTGCTGCTGAAACTGCACCACGTGCAGCAGAGACATGTGGATGAGCACGAGCAGAACTTAAATACATTCGTTGCAACAGCACCCACCAGTATTCGCGTGCTCTCCCTGTCGTTGCAGCATTGCCGATACAGCCGCTGCAGCCGCACCACCTGCAGCAGGGACATGTCGTCGAGACTGCAACTGCCGTCTGCCTCTGCTAGGTACAGAGGTCCACGGCCAAGCGACAGCTCTCCTGGAAGGGAAAGGGAGAAGGCAGAGCTGACAGAATGGGGAGCCAGGGGATGGGACCAGTGCACCTGCAGCAGGGGCGTGTTGTTGAGACTGCGACTGCCATCGGGTCGTCGAGAGTGCGACTGCCATCTGCCTCTGCTAGGTCTAAAGGTCCACGGCCACGCGACACTGCATCTGCAAGTGAAGGGAGGGAGGGGAGGGAGAGGAAGTGAAGGGGAGTGCAGTGGAGGCAGGGGTGGTTGATTGGGGTGCCATCGGCCCGGTACTGCCATCCCCCTCTGCTAGGTCTGAAGGGCTGCGGCCGATGGGTAAACTCCCCTGTGAAAAATAGCATTGTTGGAGGGTATGCGAGAGAGTGAGGGATATCAATCAAAGTGCGTAGGGTGTATAGCAAGCAACCATGACACGCAGTCGCAGCACCTGCAGCAGGGAGACTCAGGGCAGGCATATACCATCACGGCTCCGACGGCCAATTCCACATGCCATCAACACATAGAGGAAAGGAGGGTGAGGGCCGGTGCAATGGAGACGCAACCCGTACGGCTCCCCTCAGTCAGAAACAAGCCCGCACATCCCACTCAACAGCTCTGCCAATCCACTTCCCTGATTCCATGTGATAATCTCGCATGTGGGATCAACCCACTCCTCTCTCGCATGTTGCCCGATTCCCCTTGCATACTGATGCCAGAGGACTCACTCATTTCGGTGAATGGCTGCGCTGACACGAGCTCCCATGACGGCCTGCTTGCCACGTGATTGCTGCTGCTGCTGCTGCTGCTGCTGCTGCTGACAGCCGGTGCTTCACCAGTCTCAACAGCTGCTGCTTGTGACACAAGTGCACGCGCAGCTTGTGGGACAGGCCTCCTTTCTGCTTCTTGCTGCTGTTGTTGTCTCTGCTGTTCAGCTCTCCTCGCTTCCGTCTCCCTCTGCTGCAGTCTGCCTCTGCCCTTCCTGTGCCTCCCCCCACGCATCCTTCCCACTGCCCCCCTCCCCCTCTCCTCCATCCCACTCCGCTCCCAGCCACTCCTCAACCTCTCACCCCCACCCGCTTTATCCCTCTCCGCACCCACCCTGCTTGCAATCCCAGGTCCCTTTGCTGCTTCTCGGGTCTCGGTCCCCTGCTGCTCTCGGCCCTCCTCGTGCCCTTCCGCCTCTTTCTGCTGTGCTTGCTGCTGTTGCTGCATCTGCGGTTGTGGCCGCTCGGGTTGCTCTGCCACAAGTTCAGTAGCACGGGAATCAGCAGCAGGAAGCTCGTAGGGAAGATAGCCAGGTGATGAAAGGGAGAGAACCTGCTCCACCCCGTTAGTGAACACCCAGTGACCCCCTCTGTAGGTGGGTCCTTGGTTGTCGACTTTATAACGAGTATAGCCTCCCTTATCCAGTCTTAGAATGGGGCTTTTTCGAAGGAAGGAGGGGAAGGGGAGGAAGGAGGAGGAGGGGCGAGAGGAGTAGGGGATCCAAGTCGCTCTCTCTGCTGAAATAACCCGAGTCACACAGCTGGCTGCAGCTGTGCTTGCCATTGGTTCTGGAAAGTGGGAGGAGGGCAGCAGCACTGGCGAATATACTGATGGAGACGACGAATGTGGTGATGACGTTTGTAAAGAAGGTGCAGACTGCGACGACGGTGACTGTAACGAGGGTGGCAGGCAGTTGGAATTGGCTCTGCTCTGGTCGACAAGCGTGACTTGCCTCATCACCCCGGCTTCACACCTCCTCGCATAGAAGAGAGAGTGGAGATCCCCGCTCTTGCTGTAGATTCATTAAGGGGATAAGGGAAGAAAGAAAACATGATGCGCCCTTCTGACTTCCTCTGCTTTGCCTCATCACCCTGGCTTCAAACCGCCTTGCATAGAAGAGAGAGTGGAGATCCCTGCTCTTGCTGCCAGGAAAGCAAGGGGATGGGAATTGAAGGATGCCATTTTCTATGAGCACTGCTACTTGGCTCTGCTCTGGTCGACACGAGTGACTTGCTGCATCACCCCAGCTTTACAACGCCTCACAAAGAAGATCGAGGGGTGAACCCCGCTCTTGCTGCCAGGACAGCAACGGCAGGTAAAAGGGATGCACAAAACCAACATGTCAAATCCATACCAAAAATGGAGGGCTTAGGACTGTTCACACAGCATTCCGAATCTAATCCAGGAGTTTGTGAGAAGGGGGAGAGTGTCAAAGGCGGAAGGGGCAGTAGGAACAAGCGATGGCAGCAACAAGGGGAAGATGTTAGGAGGCGACATTAGGAGGCAGAGTCTAAGGAGACGACATTAGGAGGCAGAGTCTAAGGAGACGACATTAGGAGGCAGAGTCTAAGGAGACGACATTAGGAGGCAGAGTCTAAGGAGACGACATTAGGAGGCAGAGTCTAAGGAGACGACATTAGGAGGCAGAGTCTAAGGAGACGACATTAGGAGGCACAGTCTAAGGAGACGACATTAGGAGGCACAGTCTAAGGAGACGACATTAGGAGGCAGAGTCTAAGGAGACGACATTAGGAGGCAGAGTCTAAAGAGACCACATTAGGAGGCAGATTCTAAGGAGACGACATTAGGAGGCAGAGTCCACGGAGCATGCATGCATGCATGCAGAGGTGGAAGGCGGATGTACCTGAAATGAGGAAAGATGATGGGATAACGCATGTGTGGCGTGTGCTGCTGTTCACGCCCTTGCATCTGCACATGCGGATGATACATGGTTCAGGTTCGTTGCCTTTGCGTGTAGACATGCACGAGAACGGCATGGCAATGGCATGAGTTGTGTAGGCATGCACCATGATGTACACACATACACCATTTTGCAACACGTGTGGCACGTGCTGTCGAGCAGCGTAGCTGCGAATCATTCACAAGCAGCAAAATGCCAGGATACAGAAGCGGGCCACACACAGAGGTGCAGGCAGGAACAAGAGCGGTGACAGATGTTGCAGTATGGTTACATAAAACCTACAGTGCGAAGGGGCATGCACAAGCCGCAGTGCAAACTGAGACACATAATCTTCAGCATCGAATGACATACAGAGAGAAGCTGGTGCAGATGGCGGGGAGATTGCGCAGAGCGAACAGACAGGTGCCATGTGGCAAACAGCAGGTTCAGGTATTGAAGGTGTTACAGGTGTTACGGTTACAGGTGTTACGGTTACAGGTGTTACGGTTACAGGTGCCACAAGAAACAGACAGGAGCAACATACAGAGAGAAGCTGGTGCAGGTGGCGGGGAGAGTGCGCGGAGCGGACAGCCCTGAGCATGTGAGAGGCGCGGTGGGTGGTGAAGGGGACGAGGAGCTGCAGGGGGGATGGGGGAAGGGGAGGGGTGATGAGGGGTGGTGAGGGGTGAAGAGGGATCAGAGGGACGATAAGGGCAGAGTGGACGGCTCTGGTCATGTGAAAGGCATGGCGGTCGGTGGAGGGGAGGAGGAGCTGCAGGGGTGATGGGGGGTGATGGGGGGTGATGGGGGGTGATGGGGGGTGATGAGGGGTGATGAGGGGTGAAAGGGACAGGTGTTGTGCGGTACTGCAACATCGCGGACCAGACAGCCCTGAGCATGTGAGAGTGAGAGAGGCACGGTGGTTGGTTGGTGAAGGGGGTGAAAGGCTGCAAGGGGGGTGTGGAGGAAGGGGAGGGGTGATGAGGGGTGATGAGGAGTGAAGGCAGATCAGAAGGGATGAGAAGAGCAGAGCCAACAGCCCTGACCTGTGGCATATAGTGCATGCGGAGTGCATGGATGCATGGATGCATGGATGCACTCATAATTACAAGACAGGCCATGCGTAGTGCTTCTAGAGTGCATGGAAGCATGCATGGACATATACACAGCAGGCCTACAGCATACTTACCTCAGCCCATGCGCAGTGCAGCAGAATGCAGTGCAGCAGAGTGCAGTGCAGCAGAATGCAGTGCATGGGCACACGAGTGTGCGCACTGTGCACACAGAGAGAGTTACGCCGGAGCCTACAACGCACCTCAGCCCATGCGTAGTGCAGCAGAGCGCATGCATATGTGCACTGTACTGTGAGATGAGATCTATCTGAAACGGGCAGAATACCCCAACACAAGCCCACAGCGCACCTCCGCCCACGTGTAGTGCAGCAGAGTGCATGCGAGGAAGAGGTGAGCCGCGACTGAGAGGAACCTCTTCATGGATATGCCCGACGCGTGGATGGCTGAGGAACCAACGACAGGTGGAAGGAGCGGCAGAGAGCAGAGAGGACGTGGAGAGACAGAAACGAAGGGGGAGGAAGAGGTGAGCCGCGACTGTAAGGAACCTCTTCATGGATATATGCCCGACGAGCGCATGGCTGGGTGACGACAGGTGGAGAGGGGGAGGTACGCGCAGAGACAGGAAAGAACTGGGAGAGAAGAGGTGAGCCAAGACGGTAGGAACCTCCTGAATGATATCACCAATGCCCTCATGCCTGGTGCCGACATGTGATATGCGCACAGCGCAGAGAGCAGAGAGCAGAGAGCAGAGAGCAGAGAGCAGAGAGCAGAGAGCAGAGAGCAGAGAGCAGAGAGCAGAGAGGACAGAGGAGAGACGGAAGACAAGGGAGTGACCAGAAGTGAGCCAGGGGAGTGGGGGGGGATGGGGGGGAGGAGGAGAGGGGTGAGAGGAACGGAATGAGAGAAGAAGGGAGAGGGGGGAATGTGAAATGCGCTTGGTTTATTTCAGTGCTTCTTTATTGAGAGGGGGGAGGGAGCAGAGAGTGCGAGAGGGTGGGAGAGGGGGCTGTACCCACGGCGTCATTGTCAGGTGCATGCTATGGGCAGCATTCAGTTCGTGCATCGTGGCAAAAAGCGCAAACGGCTAGAGAGGAACCTAGAACATGGGTGGGAGAGGGGTGGGAGAGGGTTGATCGAGGGGTGGGAGAGGGGTGGCGAAGGGGTGGGAAAGGGTTGTACCCACGACCTCATTGTCGGCTGACATGCGGGCCAGGCAGAGCAGGGGCGCTAGAAGGGATGCCATGGGGAGGGTCAGGCCCACATAGAACTGCAACAGGGAGGAGGGAAAGAGTGGGGAAGGTGGTGTTGAGGGGGGGGGGGGGGGGGAAGCTGCGGATTAAGGTAAAGGCACAGCCGAGGTGCCAGGAGAGATCCCATGGGGAGGGTCGGGCACACACAGAATTGCGGTGGGTAGGGTAAAGGGTGTGCAGAGGTGCGAGGAGTGATGTCACGAGGAGCATCAGGATACAATGGAACTGCGATGGGTGGGCGCGGACGAGCAGGAAGTGAAGGGAAGTGGGGGGGAAGGGAAAGGAGGGGGCGGTGGAATTGTGGAATAGGGTAAGGGCAGCGCAGAGGCGGCAGGAGCGATGCCATGGGGAGAGTCAGGCCCACCTTCGACGCTGAGGGGGGAAGGGAGCAGGAAGGGGAGGGGGAAATCGGGGTTTTGAGAGATAGGTAAAGGCAGAGCAGAGGCGCCAAGAGAGATGTCATGGGGAGATTCAGGCAGGCCCACATAGAACTGTAACGGGGCAGCGAGAGGGTTACAAAATGGGGCAAAGAGAGGGTTGGCAGGAGGGGCAACGAGCACGATGATGACGAAGAATTACTAAGCCGGTCAGGGAAAAGAGTGGACGGCTTTGAGGAGACCACTTTGGATCCCACTTAAAGGAAAGGGAGATGAGGGTGACTCACTGAGTGTTGGATGGCTTTTGAAAAGAACTAGAAGAAAAGGAATGAAGAAGAGGCAAAGAGCAACGAATCAAGAAGAGTGAGGCTCACAGGCAGCCACAGGAGTGCGCAGCAGCACGATCTGCAGAGTGTAGAAGGTCTTGTGGAACACAGAGGGCAGGGCTGAGGAATGGAACAAAACGGATTTCATGATGTCGTGGAGACGCATGGACGAGACTCACTGGAGTGCGCAGCAGCACGATCTGCAGAGTGTAGAAGGTCTTGTGGAACACAGAGGGCAGGGCTGAGGAATGGAACAAAACGGATTTCATGATGTCGTGGAGACGCATGGACGAGACTCACTGGAGTGCGCAGCAGCACGATCTGCAGAGTGTAGAAGGTCTTGTGGAACACAGAGGGCAGGGCTGAGGAATGGAACAAAACGGATTTCATGATGTCGTGGAGACGCATGGACGAGACTCACTGGAGTGCGCAGCAGCACGATCTGCAGAGTGTAGAAGGTCTTGTGGAACACAGAGGGCAGGGCTGAGGAATGGAACAAAACGGATTTCATGATGTCGTGGAGACGCATGGACGAGACTCACTGGAGTGCGCAGCAGCACGATCTGCAGAGTGTAGAAGGCCTTATGGAACACGGAGGGCAGGGCTGGGGACTGGAACACGGCCATGGCCTCGTGGGAGGTTGCTGGGGGGGAAAGGGAGAGAGGGGATGAGAGGGAGAGGGGAAAGCACAGGGGGCGGGGAGGGGATTGGGGGTGGGGGGGGGGAGAGGGTATGAGCGGGGATGCGGAAGGGGAGAGGTGGAAAGGCTTGAGGAGCACGGATGGCAGGCTGTAGACCGAAACAGGCATCATGGGAGGTTGCTGGGGGAGGGGGGGGCCGGGGGCGGGGGGGGATAGGTGAGAAAAGGGAACCAATAAAACCATGAGGCCTTGTTGTACATGCTATTTGACTCTTACCAATGGAGAGCGCCAGGAGGGTAAAAGCGGAGAGGCCCAGCAGCAGAGGCTGCAGCTCCTCGAGCAGGAAATATGTGTCAAGGGCCTGTAATCCGCATTTACACCCCTCATCTGCATCCCTCATGTACATGTTTCTACCACCTACCTGGCCTCATAGTTCTCACCTATGGAGAGCGCCAGGAGGGTGAAGGCGGAGAGGCCCAGCAGCAGAGGCTGCAGCAGCTCCAGCAGAAAGTATCTGTCAAGCACCTTCAAGCCCTCCCACCACCGTTGCACCGATACAGTCACTCTCCTTACAGCCGCACTCTCCATAATCTCCCCCTTCAGAGCCACCGCTTCGCCTTGTAACAACCGTCCTTTTCGCACAAGATTTCGCACAGCAGGCTTTCTGAGGACCAATCTTCGCAAATGCTTCTGTTTCCTGGTAAGATCTGCCACGTACTGCTGCTGCTGATCAACGGCCAGGATTTGAAGTTTAGCGCTGGCGTGCATCAAGATCTGCATCCTCGGTCCATCAGCGATTAGTCTTCGAACCCTCCATGAAACTTCCTCGCGTGCAATGCTTCGACAGTCTAGATTTCGAGATGATTCATCTTGATTTGTCGATTCCTGGAGACCTGGAGAACCCCGCTGCATCCTGGCCGTACGATTTTCCGTCACGTCCGGCGCCATTTTGGAAGATTCCACTGCGCGATCAGATCCTATCCGTTCATCCGGGGACCATTCTCCGTCTTCGCGGTCCGGATTCCATCCCGTGTCAGATTCTGCGCCTGAAAGAGACTTCTCGCCGTCATCCCTTCGGACGCCGCCTCCTCTTTCCCCCATCGCTCTGCAATGCACATGATGTCTCCGCTCTCCCCCATCGCTCTCGCACGCGTCACAGCCAAAGGAGCGACAGCCTTTCTCAGACAATCTCAAACTCTGACGACGAAGGGATTCGAATTTGAGACCTGAACGCGACTTCCCAGGAGAAGAGGCGACAGAAGGGCGCAGGAAATAGGGGTTGAAATCGCAGCGACGTAAGACGGATCCGCCGGGGAATGGCGACGACCGGAAGAAGGTAATAATCGGAGCCTTCGTAAGTCGCATTGTGGCGGAGCATGAGATTGTCATGCCGCCTTCCCATGAGCGACTACTATCTGCTCGAGAGAACACTCTTAGAGCAAATGCTTGGACGCGTTGCTCTCATTTGTGCAATGGCCTAGATCCCAGCCGGAAGGCTTCCGAGAAGAAAGGAGAATGCTGAGTAGTACAAGAATTGGGAGCACTAGTAGGAGTGAGCAGGCGATCAGGCGAGACGAAAACGGCAATCTGAAGAGGCAAAAGGTGTTCCCGCCAACCGGATTCGAACCAGTGACCTAAGGATTGCTCATCTACAGTCCTCCGCTCTACCAACTGAGCTATAGCAGGATGTCCATGAAGTCGTACATAACAATATCAAAGCTTGGGTCAGAAAAACCCCAAGGCTCTCCAAGGAATGAGCTGGCAATAGATCGTACATCAACGTGCCACGTGTATACTAGTGACGTCATCGAGCTTGACGATGGTTCGTGGCGTGTCCAAGTGAGACCAGCGGAGGCATACCCAGGGCGCATCCAGAGTTGAATTTCCGGCAAAGTAACTACGGAGTACTACCTGACACTGTGGAGACTATTACTGTACATCATTGAAGCTGACTTCTTTTCTGTCAACATTTCAGCCTCTGTTACGGTTCAGTTCCAAACCATCACATTAAAATATCTCCTCAGGTACTGCATTCTCGATGTTTCCACTCTTCCTCGCCTTTCGTACTACATAACTGCTGCACCATCTAGTACCCAAGCAGAAGCACATTTCCGCCTTCCCTGATCCACCACCTTAGATCACCCACCCACCACAGCAGCAGCACCAGCAGCAGCCATGGCCGCAGTCGTCGTCGCCTGCCCCACTGCCGCGTGCTCGCTTTCTGCGGCCTCCGCCGGAAGAAAAGCGGCACCACGCAACACGGCTCACCTGGCCGCCCTGCCTGTATTCCGCGCTGCGAGGAGCACTGCGCAAAGGCGCGGCGGGTTCCTTAAAGTCTCTTGCAGCAGCAGCAGCAAGCCCGAGGCGGCGGTGGTTGAGAGCGCGGAGAATGCGGTCGAGCAGGAGCCGTCGTTCGTGGCGTCGGGCTTCCTGGAGAAGGCGATGCTGATGTCAGCCGTCGCCATGACGCCGCTGCTGCTCGGCGCGCAGGTAAGGAGGGAGCGGCGCGTGACATTGTAACGAGGTGACTGTTGAGTTGACTCAGAAGTCGCCGCTGCTGCTCGGCGCGCAGGTGAGTAGGGAGCGTCGTGTGCTTGTTGCGGTTTGCCGTGTTAACTTTTCTGCATGTCGGTCAGTTTGGTGGTTGGTGATTTTCGGTACTACAGCTGACAAGCTGGTGTTTCGGGAAGAAGAAGAGTCTATGAATGGGTGGATGGTCATGGGTGGATGGTCATGGGTGGATGGTCATGGGTGGATGGTCATGGGTGGATGGTCATGGGTGGATGGTACTAATGGGTATGTCGATTTGAAACACCTCGCGAAAGTAACGGACACGGTATCGAAGTGGACAGGGCTCGTCGCCACACAGATAGTAGCAAAAGACTGAGCTTGATGCAGTGCAAAGCTAATTTCGAATGCGCTTCCGCTGCGCGATGCACCTCCCCGCCGGCCCACCGTGTTTGGGTCGTGTCTTTAACTCCAGCACGTCACCCTCCCCTCGCTCTTCCTCTTTTGACTCGACTCCAAAGTCTCCCGGTAGTACTTCACCAGTGCGTGTCTCTGGCTCCAGTAGTACGTCACCCTCCCCCTCGCTCGCCTCTCACCCCTCGCTCCTCCGACCCGCTTTCCCATGCACACTTCCGACCCGCTTTCCCATGCATACTTCCGTCCCAAAACTGTACGACAGCCCACATTCCTATAACCGATCCCGTGTCTCAGCGCTCACTAAGCGCTCTATCCCCCCCCCCTCCCGCGAGAGCAGGACGCGCTGAGTCTTGAGTCACACTCCATCCCTCCCTCCACCTCCGCCCGCGAGAGCAGGACGCGCTGGCCGTGGACGGCGACTTCGGTCTGCTGGAGGGGCGGACGGCGGCGCTGGTGCACCCGTTGGTGATGGGCGGGCTGTTCTTCACCACGCTGTACGCCTTCTACCTGGGCCGCCAGTGGAAGCAAGTGCGCGTCGTGGGCGACAAGATCCAGGACCTCAAGAAGCAGCTGCCAGCCGGCGATGACGCTGCTGCATCGCCGCTGTCTGGCGAAATTGCCACCCTCACCGCGGTAAGTGGACGACTCCCTTGCGCCACTCGTTCCAAGTCTTGGGCGACAAGATCCAGGACCTCACGAAGCAGCTGCCGGCTGGCGAGGCCGCCGCCGCGTCACTGCTGTCTGGCGAGATCGCCACGCTCACTGCGGTAGGTGGGCTTCCTTTTAATGAGGCGCCTGGATAATAGATTCCTCTGGATAATGAGGATTGGTCGGTCGTTAGGCTACCTGTGGAAGTGTGGGGTCCAATACGGCAGGAATACGGCTGCCCGGGCAGCGGAAATTTTTGCCCGGGCAGGCAAAAAAAAACCGGCGGGCAGCCTGGAGAGGGGGGGTCCGGGGGGGGGGGGGGGGCAGGGCATCCGTTACGTAAACAATGGCGGAGGAGGAGGAAGCCTGGCCAACGTTAGTAGGAGCAGGCACGCTAACGGGGGTTGATGGGGTGGACGCCATGACCACTACAGAGAAGTTTGAATAGAACTAAGCCAAGATCAGCAAGGGGAGGGAGAGCTTGGAGTTCAAAAATGAAGAGAGATGGTGCTTCAGATCTGAAGTATGGCGGGAATGGGGGGGATTGACAAACACGGGATGCCTTCCATCCACGTCCACACCTGGTGAGGGGATGGGCGAAAAAGCGTGGACGAAAATTTCAGTTTTCGTAATGTCGCGAACTTGCCGGAAATTTTTTGAACTTCATTTTTTTTTTCGCCGGGCAGCCCGGGTATCGCGTATCGCATATTCCAAGCGTATCAGCGTATTGCGTATATTCGCTAGCGTATATACACTACACGCTAAGCCTTCTGAGCGAATTTTCCAACATAGCCGCATGCCCTCGAGCTAGGTGCTTTCGTGATACATCCCAGGGACTGCACCAGAAGTGCGCACTGCTGACGTTGCAAGGCCGGCACAAGCCCCACGCATTTCCTGTCGCTTCTCCTTCCTCTCCCCTCGCCCTCCCGTTTTCCCCCCTTCCCCTTTCCCCTCTCTTCCTGCACGCCATTCCCCCCTGTTCCTGTTCCTGTTCCTGTTCCTCACCCGTGGCGGCGTGCCCACGGCAGAAAGCACGGAGCTGGTGAAGGGCAAACACCCTCTTGTCTCACACCCTCTCACCTTCCTCCCTGCATTTCCTCCCCCCCTGTTCCTCCCCCGTGGCAGCAACGCACGGAGCTGGTGAAGGGCAACTACCGCGAGAAGCACTTCAACGTGGGGTCGCTGCTGCTGGGCTTCGGCGTGCTCATCGCCGTCGAGGGCTGCGTCAACACCTGGTTCCGCACCGGCAAGCTCTTCCCCGGCCCCCACCTCTGGGCCGGCGCCAGTAAGTCGCACTGCCTCTCTGTCCCCCTTATGAGTCGACTCTACAGAGGGCTGTGTCAACACCTGGTTCCATCTCTGGGCCGCCGCCAGTAAGTCGCACGCACTGCCTGCCTGTCCCCCACGTCGGTCTCCCACACCCCTCCTCTCACTCCTCTCACTCCTCTCACTCCTCTCAGCCCTCTCACTCCTCTCACCAATCCCCATAAATTCCTCACCCCGCTCCCCCCGCCCCCCCCTCCCCCCCGGCTCCTTCCCCCCTCTGCCAGCCATCACGGTGCTGTAGGCGCTGGCAGCCTTTCTGGTGTTTTTTAGAATTCTCAGAAACACCTTGCAAAATCCCCCATGACCCCCTCTCCCTCGCCCTCCCCCCCTCCCCTCCCCCCCGCTCGTTTCCCCCCCACCTCTGCCAGCCATCACGGTGCTGTGGGCTCTGGCGGCGTCGCTGGTCCCTGCGATGCAGAAGGGCAACCCCGTTGCGCGCAAGGCGCACGTGGCGCTCAACATGCTCAACCTCGCCCTCTTCGCCTGGCAGATCCCCACAGGCCTCGAGATCGTCGGCAAGGTCTTCGAGTTCACCTCCTGGCCTTGAAATGCTGGCTCCAGCTTGGATTGGACTGATTATTGGTTTATGAATAGGATACACAGAGGCAATTGCAGTTGTATGTGCTTCTGATAACAATGAAAGGGGGAGCGTGCTTGCTTGCATTGCATGCTTGCTGCTTGTTGATACTGGTGGTGTAGTACCTGCATGTACCAACCCACAAAAGTGACTGGGAAAGGTCAATATCTATCGAATGACGCTCTGCCCGTGGCCCGAAGGGAGCTGCTCCTTGCTGTAGGGTAAGTTCTGCAGCGAGTGTCAGACCCTCGGGGTTAGTCTCAAAAACACGCAATGAACTAGAATGAGTGATACAGGGAGGTTTTGACCAAAGGAACACCTTCTATGAGCATGCACCTATCTAACCTATAACGTATACAAATATATGTTGTCACACCCCCTAGGGTAGACAAGGGGCAACGACTAGGACGAGACACGCAGCTCAGGTTGGCACAACTACTGTATTCCCCCATATATGCCACCCTAGAGTATTGGCAAAAAAATGTTTTAAAGCGCGTGTCCCAAGAACGATCAAGACTCAAAGTCTTTGAATCTTGTGTTAACATCGGAACGAATAATGATTATAGGAAGTGAAACATAGAACAAATACCAGTTGGTTGTACTCACTAGAAGCACACACCTAGTCTAGCCTATAACTTCTATACAGATAATATGTATAAGTTGACACACCCCCTAGGCTAGACAAGGGGTGGAGCTAAGTAAGAAGCACACAGCCCAGGGTGGCACTACTAGTCCAACCACTGAGGCAGGGGTCCGAAGACCAGTCAGCAAAAGTACAAACAAGACTAAAACAAACCAGGGCGGCACTACTAGTCCAGCCACTGGAGGTAAGGCCACAAGGCCAGTCAGATCAATGTAAATAGTAGAGAGAATACACAATCAGGGTCCTAGCAAGTAAGAAGCTACAGGAACAAGTCCAAGCTGTACACAGTGCCGCTGATGATCTTTAGGCGCAAGCACCTTAGGAAAGATATCAGCTGTGTTGGCACCGAAGGCCAAGTGGACTACGCGGGCCTGGCGACGCTGCTGTAGCTCGCGCAGGAGGAAGTACCGCAGCTGGATATGCTTCGCTCTGCCCTCAAGTCGAGGCTCCTGACACAGGAGAATCATGGCCCTGTTGTCAGCGTACAGGACCGGGGCAGAGCTAGGCCGCTCACCTAAGTCTGTGAGCAAGAAGGTCAGCCAGCGGAGCTCCTGTGCCGCCATGGCACCAGCGTAGATCTCAGCCTCACAGCTGGACTGAGCAACAGACGACGAGCGAGTGGATCTCCAGGAGATAGCACCCGAACCAAGGCTAAAACAGTAGCCCTGCGACGACCTGAGTGTCTCAGAGTCGTCTGCCCAAGAAGCGTCTGTATGCCCAGTGAGGACCACCAGCCTGCGTCCTCCTAGCACTAATCCCATGCCTGATGTACTTGCTAGATATCGCAAAACCCTCTTAGCGGCCAACCAGTGCTGTGATCGTTGTCTGCCTGTGGCCACAAAGCGAGCCAGGATGCTGAGAGGGTATACGAGATCTGGGCGAGTGCAAGTCATCAGGTACATGAGGCAACCCACCAGCTCTGCGTAGGGGCCGCTGGGCTCTACTGGCTCCTCAGGAACGGGAGCGGAGAGCCCATGGTCTACAGGTAGAGGTGTGGGCTGTGCGGAGGAGAACTGAAGACCGAACCTCTGAAGGACCTGACACACCAAGTGTGACTGTGTCAGAGTAATGGTGCGTGCTGCTCTGTCCCTAGAGATCTGCAGGGCAAGATAGCGATGCAGCTCTCCAAGGTCAGTGCAGGTGTGTCTCTTCAGCAGCTCGGCCTTCACGGAGGCCAGTGCGTCCCTGTCAGCATAAACACCAGCTCCACGTCGTCTACGTAGACAAGGATGTAGAACGGAGTCTGGCCGGAACGCACAAACAGCGAGGGGTCAGCAGAGGACAGAAAGAACTGCAGATCTACTAGCGTGGCACGCAGCGTGTCGTGCCACTCACGGGGAGCCTGGCGCAGGCCGTAGACCGGGCGCCTGAGAAGCCACTGGGTCCCAGGGGGGAAGGTACTAGTGAAGCCATGTGGTCGGCGCAGGTAGACGTACTCGTGTAGACTGCCCTGAAGAAAGGCAGTAGAGAAGTCGAGGGAGTGAAGCTCGTAGTCTCGCTGTGCTGCTACGTGTAGCAGCGCCCGAAGAGTGGTCATCTTCGGGGTCGGGGCGAAGGTCTGGAAGAAGTCAACCCCCTCGCGCTGACTGAAGCCTCTAGCCACGTAGCGCGCCTTGAAGACAGGCGGCTCTCTTGGGGGGCGATTAACCTTGAAGAGCCACCGACCATCGACTACGTTCACCCTAGGCGGGGGAACTGCGTCGACGTAAGTGTCGGTAGACCTCCAAGATGCCATCTCCTGCTCCATGGCAGCTATCCACTGAGAGGCCCAAGGTCCCGAGGTGGCCTCAGCGTAGGTGCGAGGGGTCGGGATGTCGAAAGCGTCTAGGTCACCCTCTGGGACTAACAGCATGGAGCAGAGATGGGGAGCAGCCTCTGACAGGAAAGCAAGCTCGTACTGCCTGTCCTCTAGAACGTCACTGCCAAGGGCAGGTGCACCCCCGACGGACGGAGGACGGGCAGGGTCAGAGACCAGAGCGGTAGCGTAGTCAAGGCGGCGGGTAGAGGCGAAGTCAGCGACAGCAGCGACAAGCGCGTCGAGGCGCGAGACAGGAACAGACGGGTCCGTAACAAGGGAGGCAAGAACCCGAGGGACAAAGGGACGCGCAGCACGGAGGTAGTCCGACAGCGGAGGAGGTGCAACAGCAAGCGACGAGGGAGGAGGCGAAGGGAGGAGGGGAGGACGAGACGAGTGGGAACGGAGCAACGAACGAGTGGGAACGAGTGGGAACGGTGGGAGCGCAGGACAGGAGAGACGGGACGAGCACGGGAGGGACGACGAGACAAAACGTGGGACGGAGGGGTAGGGTCAGGAGACAGCGGAGGGGACACAACAGGAGTACGAGGAGGGGCCCAGGGGGGGCGCGACGGGGCCTAGGAGGCACGACGGGCGGAAGCGGTAGGCGGGGGGATCCTAACCTAAGCGTGATACCATGTTAACGTAGAAACGAATAATGATTCTAGGAAGTGAAACATAGAACAAATACCAGTTGGTTGTGCTCACTAGAAGCACACACCTAGTCTAGCCTATAACTTCTACGTAGATAATATGTATAAGTTGACATCTTGGTCAGAGTGGCGAAATTGGCACGGGTGTTGCGAAACGAAAAATGGGATTGGGGAAGCACAAAAGTCACGGACCTCGCCTGCGGGAGGTGGGCGATGTTTTGGAGACGAGTGGAAACAGGGAGGGTGAGAACCATACCTGGGGCGCGTACAGTATCGAGAAAAAAACGACCCTAATATGTAACTAGGACTGTCGGGCCAAAGATGATCGGGCAAAAGTGTCAAATTATACATATTCTGTACGTAGAAGTTATAGGCTAGTCTAGGTGTGTGCTTCTAGTGAGTACAATCCCAACAGGTACATGTTCTAGGTTTCTCACACTAATCTATTCATTCTCTCTTTCTAACATGGTATCATGAGAAGGTTAGGTTCCTCTCGCCCGCCCACGCTTCCGCCCTAGGCCCTAGCCGCCCTCGTGACCCGTCCCTAGCTGCCCCCCCCCCCCTGGCCGTCGCGTCCGCCCCTAGCCGGCCCCCTGGCCGTCGTATCCGCCCCTAGCCGGCCCCCTGGCCGTCGTGCCCGGCCCTAGCCAGTCCCCTGGCCGTCGCGTCCGCCCCTAGCCGGCCCCCTGGCCGTCGCGTCCGCCCCTAGCCGGTCCCCTGGTCGTCGCGCCTGCCCTAAGCTGGCCCCCTGGCCGTCGCGTCCGCCCCTAGCCGGCCCCCTGGCCATCGCGTCCGCCCCTAGCCGGCCCCCTGGCCGTCGCGTCCGCCCCTAGCCGGTCCCCATGCCGTCGCGCCCGCCCTTAGTTGGCCCCCTGGCCGTCGCGTCCGGCCCTAGCCGCCCCCCTGGCTGTCGGGTCCGCCCCTAGCCGGACCCCTGGCCGTCGCGTCCGCCCCTAGCCGGCCCCCTGGCCGTCGCGCCCGCCCCTAGCCAGCCCCCTAGCCGTTGTGCCCGCCCCTAGCCGGCCCCGTGGCCGTTCGCGCCCGCTCCTAGCCGGCCCCTCCTAGCTCCCGCCCGGCCCCCTCTACCGCCCGCCCGGCCCCTCCACAGCGCCCGCCCGGCCCCTGCTAGCGCCCGCCCGGCCCCTCATAGCGCCCCCCCGGCCCCTTCTAGCGCCCGCCCGGCCTGTTGCGCCCGCGCGTCCCACATTGCCAGCCCGGCCCCACCCAGCGCCTGCCCGGCCCCGATACGCCCGCCCGGCTCCTGCGGCCCGCAGCTCCCAGTGCCTGCCCGGCTCCTGCGGCTCCGTGTCTTCTACTCGGCACGGTCCCTCGGGTCTCCGGCCTCGTGTCTTCTGCTTGCCAGCGCTGGAGCGATCTGCAGACGTCCCCCTGGAGCTGTGCTGTTGTGTCCCTGTGCCGCTGTGTCCTGTGGAGCTGTGCCGCTGTGTCCCTGTATCGCTGACCCTGCACGATGGCTGACTTCGTCCTCCACCTGGACGCTGAGGGCCACGCGGTTGACTTCGCCGCCTGGCTGTCCGATCTCCGCCAGCACCTCACAGGTTAGCGCCAGGATGGGCACTCCTTGGTTCTCCATGCTGATGGCTTGCTCCCCAGCCTCCCTGCGCCTGCTCCCCTCCCTGCTGACCCCACCTCTGCTGAGCGTGAGACTTTCTCTGCTGCTGCACTTGCTTGTGCCGTCTGGGACTCTCGCGATGCAGTTGCTCAGGTCGCTATCAGTCACGCCCTCCCTGTGTCTGAGCGTTTGCGTTTTGCTACAGTTGATACAGCCAAGGCTTACTTAGAAGCTGTTGTTGCTCACTATTCCACGCCTGCCTCCGCTACTGCAGGCCGCCTGCTCTTCCCTATGCTTTTCCCAGACCTTGCTTCCTTCCCTACTGTTGCTGACCTTGCCACTCACGTGCGCGCCCTGAAGTCTCGCTACCGCACTGCCAGCACTACTGCCCAGCTCACTACGCTCCCTCACCCCTACTGCATGACCCTCTACATTATCGCCATGCGCCTGCCTGACCGCCTTGCTAGTTCATGCGACCACATCCTTAGCCAGCACCCGGGTGATCTCACCCTGCCAGC